CCCCGGCTAATATCTTTGTGGTTCCGAGAATTAGGAGCTTAATTCACCATGGGTCTCTGAACTTTATCTTTGTCTAATAATTTGAGCTGAGATCCCAACAATATATTACAAAGTTATATGTGACATCTACTCCAGAACTATTTTAGAGAGAAATTGAGATTCCTTCTACCCTTTCTTGTGGACAAAACTATTGTATTACTAGTGACTATAGTCCAGGTAGCTTAGGGTCCAGAAGAAAGTTGGAGAAGTAAACAGATAATCCAAGAAAATCAAGCACTCTAATGGCATAAGTACAGGCATGAAGGGGGACAGAGGCTCTTACCCAAGCCTGGGGGGCATTCGGCAGAGTTTTGTCGAAGGTGATTTGTAGACTAAGTCCTGAATAAGATGCAAGATGTAGACAAGGGAAAAGGATAGGAGTAGGCTATGGAATTGAGAGAAAAAAATAAAATTCAAAAGGCACGAGATGAGTACTCGTACAGAGCTTAAAGTGGGAAAATGTGAAAAATTCAAGATGTATGTGGGAAAGAAGTGGCAAGAAGTGAGTCTGGAGGAACTGTGGTCAGGGGATTTATCTTGAAGTCCATAGAGAATCTATAAAGGGTTTTTAATAATGGAGTAGCCCCATCAGATTTGCCTGTTAGAAAGATCTTTTGGTTTTACAGTGTGTGAAGAAGCTCCAGGCACCACGAACTAGGACTAGAACTACTTTTTCTTGAAGTCAATTTCTCTTGACTACACCACCTCTTCTCTCTGAGGAAGGCTTGGAAGGAGAAAAGCAAGCCCCTATATCATGCCAATAAAAGTAGGCAGAGGATGGACAAGTTGAAATAGATAATTGGCTATATGTTGATCATGGGTATATCAATGTTCCATTTTTTTAGTGTGAGAGAAGCACTATAGGAAGTAGTGAACAGTATTTGCTCTAAGTTATCAGCTGGTGTTGCTTGAGAAAATTTTAACCTGTTTCTCCATCTGAAAAGTAAGACTATTATTTTATTAAGGACTTATATGCATCAAGTTAATGCAACTAGTAAGGTTGCTTACAAAGGTTCCAAGGATCATACAATTAGTAAGTTATGAAGCCATGACACGTGTTCGCCCAATCTCTCCCTTAAGTCAGAAAGTTCCTTCTGACCTAAGATGGAAATGGAGCTAAGAGAGCCAATTTTGCATGACTAAGGGAAAAGGAGACTTTCAGCAGATTGGAGACCACTTTGGTCAGTTTTGGAAAAGTGTGTAAATTAGGACACTTCGATTCAAGTGACAGAAACCTATGAGAGCTAGCTTAAGTTAAAACACATAAACACTACACTATACGATATAGCAATGCTCCACGGAAACCAAGGGCAAGAACACAGCCTCCTCAGAAAAGGATTTGAACAAAGGGACAGTTTGCAAAATTCATCTTCCATTTCAGTTCCTCTGGGCATCTCCTTCATTCTATATTTTCTCTCTGGAAACTTTCTCTTTTTTTGTAGTTTACATGAAAGAATATATAGCCATGAATACCTTTTAAGTTTATATGTTGCAATCTACTCTGCTAGTTCCTCAGTCTTAAAGTTCCTAAGGAACAGCTTTCACCCTAACCTGGGTTCGATGTCCATCCGGGAACAATCAGCTAAGCCCATAAAAGCAGGGCCACATTCCACAAATACTGCTGCTAAGGGACACTCCTGTGGGTTACAGCCACTCCTCAGGTGAGAACTGGTTACAAGGGGTAAATTGGATGACAACTCAACAGCTGTACTTTAAAGAAAGGAAATCTCTTATTGTCAGAGTTTAGAGTTTCTTCTCTTCTCCACAGTCAACAATTTTGTTGCTATATCTCATTTCCTCTTCCACTGATATCTTATCGATCCTACCATTCTTAACATTTTAGGAAAGAATAATTTATTTTTTGGAATAGCAGGAAATTTGATAGGCGCATATATAAATCATCCTAAGAGGTGACTTTCTGCTCGATTTTTTAAGAACTCCAAGAAAAGTATATCTCATAGTCAGTGGCATGTCACAATATTGTTTACCATGCCAAGAAATTCTTCACTATGGTTTGACCCTTGAACAACTTAGGTTTGAACTGCACGGGTCAACTGAAAAAACTTGTATAACTGGACCCACGCAATACAAACCCATCTTGTTCTTGTTCAAGGGTCAATTGTAATTCCTTCTGCTGCTATTTAAATGCACTTCCTTTCTCAGACTTAATGGAGCAAGCGGTACACAGCTCATCAGAACTTGCTTTGAAGAGATTATCAACCATTTGAAAAATCCCCTCAGCATTCTCTTTACCAAACTGCAAAAACTAGACCCTTCAATCCTTCCTAAATTATATCTTATTATATAGTCATGAGGTCAACAGAATTATTTGTATAGAAAAACATGAATACTAAATCACTAGCAGCTTTCCTATAGACCTTCTCTGTGTATCCTCTTAGAAAGGCTAAAACTGGACACAGTACTCGCCTAGTCGGAACAGATGATAAGTAAGGGGTTAGGGTGGAGATGGTAGGGGAAGGGATTCAAGCAGCTTTCACAGAATCCACTATAAGAGCAGCTGAGCCTCCATGGAGATGGAAGGTTATCTGGCAGCTACTCTCTCCACCCCTCTCTGGAGTCGCATGGTCTCTCACCTGGGCATTTGCTATGTTCTTTGCTAGCCAGATTCTTTAGACTTGTAGATTCCACTGCTGATTCTGCTTACCTGAAGCTCAAGTTCAACGTACTACTTTCTCTGGTCCAGTACCACCTAACTGACTGGCTCAAGTCCCACCCTCGGTCCTACCAGCTGTAGGTGGAAAGGCAGGTCCATCCAGCTCTGTGGAGATACAAGCACCAAATGGTACTTTTCTTTCTTGTGTATGTAATGGACAAGATTCCAGGATAGCAGCTATTACAAGGAAGTTTTCCTTATATATCTTAAGTTCCCTTATGAGTCATCTCACCACACTTCTAGAATGATTCCATTTCTTAATCTTTATGCCAAATTTTCATGATCATTAAATTCTAAATGTTTTCTATTTTGTTACTAGTTATTTAGAAATATGTTTTAAAATGTCCAAATATATGTAGTAGGAGCTCATTAGAAGTGAGAACAAATGACTTACATTCATATTTATGGAAAGTTGATTTCAAAATTACCTAAGGAGATATATAAATGAATCTTCAATAATTACTTATTAAATTTTAGTGGAATTAAATGCCTTCTCAAAAGTTTTCTATTGGAAATGCTCTGCATGGCTAGTTTTTATGGCTCTACCCATTCCTCGTTTACTACTTGACCTTAATTTACTCCTCTCTCTTCTCAGGTTTGATTGCCTGGCTGGCTCAATCCTACTAGACTGCAGCTATTGTGAAAGGCTTCAGTTCCTCCTATGTTCCCATAATAAAATTAGTTGTGTTACTATGTGAAAAAAGATAACCTAATATTTGGTGCTATTTTGGGGGAGAGTTTTCCTAAAATAGCTCTTTTAATATTTCATCCTTTTTTAAGACTATTAAAACAATGCTTATAGGCAACATGTGAACTTTGCAAAACCTATCTTCAAGTTCTCCTGATTAATAAGAACACTTTTACCAATTGGATATTCTCATGTACCTCACAATTAAAATATAATGATAATAATAATCACACTTAAAGTGCTGAAAGAAGAGCATAGTACAACTAGGTCCTGTCTCAACATACTCCTTTCATTGAACTAAAAGATTCATCCTCTAGTTTCTATTGTATTCCCTAAGGTTAGTGCTTAGCAGAATTTTTGTTTGGTTTAAATACAAAACTGTAGATACATGACTGTAAACATGCAAAAATACGTCTATATGTGACCTGGAAGGCAATAAACCAAAATGAAAATACTTGTTTTAATTTTTAAAGATATTTAATAAAAATATTTAAAATACTCAGTTGAGCACTAAAAAAAAAAACAAAAACAAAATTCTTGAAAGTCTGAGTGACTAAATAAAAAAGCTCTCTTTAATCATTGACATTCCTCATTGAAATCTTGAAACTCTTCCAACTGTTGAAAAGTAAGCCGAATAGTTGTTTCTTCCCTCCCCTGAGAGGGAAAAACAAGATACTTTACTGCTCTGGGAAGGTTACATAAAATCCTGAATCTTTTCAAAATGTTAACCAGACTCGGGGCAAGTCCTGAGGTTCCAACTCCTAAAAAACTGCTTATAACTTGGGTACTATGGATCCATCCTGGGCACTTAGGACTTCCTGGCAAAAACGGGCAACAAAGATTTGTTTTGCACAAAGTCAATACTCAGGTTTAATTTACATTATATGTAAAAAATTTTAAAACACAAAGCTTATCTTTAAATGGAAATGTAAACTGAATCTAACAAAGGCCCTAAAGAAGAACAAAATAGTATTCTATCTCCAAATGGGGAATAGCGTAAAGAACTCAAGGGAAGCAAGAAAAGTTGGGACTGAACATATGGTTCTTAAGGGTAGGCAATAATAGGAATGGGCAAAAATAATAGTGGAATTTAGATCTGAAAAGAAATTTACAAGTTTAATCCAAATCTCTCAATTTACAGATGAGGAAACTTGAGGCCCATTTATTTATTCATATTGAACAAACATTTATTGTGTACCTATATGCTCGATGCAGGAAAAACAATAAACAAGACATGGTCTAATGAGAGGAAGTGACTTGTCAAGTCACAAAGCAAGTAAGCTGCTAAACAAGGGCTCTCTGCATGGAACACTATATTTTCTGATAATATACAATCCTTTCTGCACCTGTAAGCACACTAAGCATTTGAAGAAAGTTCTATACAAAGATAAGAATTTCATATACAATTGATGTAGTAACATTCTGCGATATAAGGGATATATATTATATTCAGATGGCGTTAGAATCTATATAAAATAACCACACAGTTTCTTAATTAACACGTGAAATGGTAATTTCCTCGGAAGTGCTTTCTAATTTCTTGGTCATTAGGTATTCCACGTGCAAATTTTGACAATCCAGATTTTGAAATTTTTTAAGATGACTTCTGGTCATGCAACTATGACTCTTACCATATCCTGTCTCCTTCAAATCTTTCACTCAACTAGTGTTGTACTATTTCGTTTTTTTTTTTTTTCCCAATAAATGACTCTATTTTAAAAGCCCTAGTTCTAACATTAACCAGTTTATCTCCTTAACCATTCATAATGTAACCAGTTTGGTACCTTCAGTGTTATAGTACACACAGATATAAATAATAAAATGTCCTTTACTGGAACTTATTTAAAAGAAAAGTTATGTACCTCATTTTAAAATGAACATTGGCACCTACTACAAAAGAGAAAATAAAAAGTTTGGAACCAATTCTTTTCCTGTTGTTTTTTGCTGATTTAATAACCTGAAGAAAGCAATAGGGGAGTTCTTAAACATAGAAAAGGACAGGAGCTCTCTACTAGAAGCAATACAATAGACTCAGAGTTCCTCTCCAATTAAAACAACCTGTAAGAAAAGGTGTGAAATTCTTATAACTTAATGAAATAAAGTTTTTGATACTCCTGATTGGAAAATAGCAATTTATATTCCAGCAATTTTGAGAATGATGGGGACGTAAGGGAACTGAAAAGTCACCTGTGCGATACTACCAATATTATGACATAGAGCTTTAAGACTGACTTTCCATCATCATCTCCTTCTGTTGTACTTCCTTCCCCTAGCCATTCACTCCCTATTATTATTTGTGCCTCCTTCCTACAGAGTAAGCTCTACTGAGGACAGGCACTGGCCATTAACCATCTCTGTATCCTACCTTGAATCACAGTACACAGCTGATAATAATGAATACCATAGATGGGTAACCGAAATTTAAAAATTGATAACATCTATTCTAATTTATATATCCATACTCCAGAACTAACTGTAGCAATAAAAATTTAAACTACATCAAGAACATGTAGTTCTAAATCAAACAACAGGGTATGTTAAACGGCAAGGCAGGGCTGAGAATTTTGAAAAGTCTGGCTATATAAAAAAACCATGGTGCATGCTGTTCTAAAAATATCAACCACTTCTTTTTAAACAGGAAGGGTCAATTTCAAGCCTCAGATAATGAAAGGTAGAAGAAAACTGTCTGGAATAAAAGAAACATTAAGTGGAAAAAAAAAGATAATTTTATCTCTGGATTAAGACATTTTAATATACATAATGTATAGTTCTTCATATAATTTATTAATGTCATTTTCTACAGGACACTGCAATTAATTCAGTGACATCAATATTGACCTCATACAGACAAAGGATGAAAGCTGGGTTTTCTTGTGTACCAAGTACAAAACAGGTACTAAGGAGTTACCACACACAACGGTTATGAGAGATCAACTTTAAGGATGACTCAGTTTACAGTAGTTGCTTCACATGGTTTTCTCTTAAGACTTGGATGCCACCCAGTGCTGCTGCGTTTGTGCAACTGCCAGCTCTGGACCACCCAACTACCTTCTTTTACCAGCCCCGCTTTTGCCTGTTTTACTGCTCCCGCTGCTAGACTTGCCAGATGATTTTGAGGAGAAGAGTCTTGTCATGAATTCAGAAACATCAGGCAATTCATGGTTGGAATTCAGCATATTCATTGACTGCTCCATCTCCTGCAGGAAGACAAAGCACAATGATAAGAAAGGCACCGGGATCCTGAGCCACTGAACAACTAGCACTTCTATTAAGGAAGGAGAGAAACAGCACAAGTAAAAGGCGCTGGTTCTATGGAATGACACAATGCCATACCCAACAGTGCTTAAGGAACCATGTTTTATACCTTCAGTCCTTAGTAAATGCCCAATAAGTGTTTGCCTGGGGTTTGATTCACTTTATGTTTTTATAAAAGGCATTTTCTTGGATGATGAACATATGAGATCACATTCCCACCACCTTATGTTTCTGATTAAAATGCTTTCTTATCATTTCAAGGAGCGTTTTTTTTTTTAACTCATGCTTCCTTTAGATGCATATCACCAGAATATCAAGGTATCAGAAAAGTCTGGAAGATAACTGCAGTATTTCTAAGACTTTATTCCCAAGACCCTTAGAAATAAAATCTATACTATATGACTTGGGTGACTTCAATTTCAGCATCTAAAGCAAGCAACACAAATGTTACCAACAAGTCGCTGGCAGGACAGGATAAAGATGTGGCACTTTTTTTTTGAGGTTTTTTCGTCTCTTTTATTGAGCCAATAATCTATAAAGTGCTGTTCTACTTTCGACCATGTTAATACCTACTTCATTTGAATTTTATGCGACATTCCAAAAGTGAACTTAAAAGTGTTTTACTTTAGATATGAAAAAAATAGCAAATACTATATTATCTATCATTTAAAATGGAATAACAATCTGATATTTTCTTAGGCTCTCCCCCTAAAGGTAGAGTTAATACATGGGTATTCAAAGAGAAAGTGCTTTTACAAAAAAAGGCCAAGGAAAGAAACATTATAAACGTAAATCAAATATGTTAATGTGCCTTAATAATTAAGAATTAAATGTATATGGTAATAGGTCTTGAGTCCCTGCAAAAATATATCAACTTTATTTTTGAATCTGTTCAATTCTGAAGCTCTTGAATAAACAACTTTGTATTGCTTACCATGTGCAAAGCACTTTGCAAGTAATTAACTTTTTAATCCAATGTGACTTCTGTTGTTGCCTTCTGTTGATGTCATAGAGAGATAACTGGCTTAACAGATACAAGGATTGCACAGGATGTATATTGCATGGCCAACACAGAAGCAGAAGTGCCAAATTTAGCAATAATACTTTGAAACATCACAAAGCTTTCTTTTTCCATAAAGCTTTTTCTGCCATTGCGGCTTAGAATAAAATGCCTTACCTTCTACAGAACTTAATCACCAACTACCTCACCAAACGTTTATTTTATGTATATCTTATTTTCCCTTTACTCACTCTCTCTCTCTCTCTCTCTCTCTCTCTCTCTCTCTCACACACACACACACACACACACACACACACACACACACAAAATCCCCTGAAGCCAAGAAAAGTTTTTTATAAATCCATTCTATTTCCTACTTTTAACTGGATTATGAGTTTGTTGATGACAGGGATGACACATAATTCATTTGTGTATTCCCTAGTACTGAGGACCTAGAAACCAATTAATAAATGTTTTTATAGCAATGAATAAGATGTCAACACATCAATATATTAAATACAATAGAAAAACTTAGAACTCAGAAGATATTTGTTGATGGTTTTTGGGTGGGAGAATGGACTTTAAAAAACTGAAAATTTTATAAAGAAGCCTATACTTGAAAGAGACAAAACAGTGAAACTAAATTTGAAGCATCTACTTGGCAACTCCTCTCCTCCTTCCCAAACCAGTATGGTTTTGTGGTACGGAGTGTGAAAACTTCTATTTTTATCCCTTATCTTTCCAAATTTATTTTGTGTGTCTGAACACATAAATAAAACATGTACTCTGAAGAGTTTTATAAAGTAAGATAGATTATAGGAAGCTATCATTTTGCAAAATATTTGGGTTAGTGTACTAGGACTATTATGCATTTCAACTATTTAACAAGTGACACACAGAGAGGCTGGTACTACATAGAATGCTGTAGTTATGTGAAGAGACCCAGGCCTTTATCAAGCAAAATCAACTGAATTTTTCTGGTCCAACGGAAATGACTAAGTGCCAGGAATATAATACTCTGCTAACATAACCTCTAGATGAATTTGGCTTAGGAATTAGGATAAAGCTGAAAAGACCCAAGCTGTCCAGCCACAATGGACAGACCATGCATCAGAATATGATTCAAAAATCCATAGGTGGGCATTCATCTTACCCGTCTCATGTCAGGGTCACTTGTGTTGACCACTTTGGGCAGAAGCACAAATATCAACAATGGAAGAACCATCATCATAACCTGTAGATGAAAAAATTTGGAAAATGTTTTTTCCCACTTAACAGTACAGCAAAATCTACACTTAGCAACCAGTGATAAAATTCAAGATTGAAATGTATATAGAATAAAACTAGTAGCAACCACTTCAATTCTAGCCAGACCTGCTGACAGCAAGGTACCCCGCAATGTCTGACCATTACAGAATATAAGAGCCTTATCTATACATGTTTGGATTTTATAGACACCTCACTTTATATTTGTGCTGCCTATCATTTTCTCAGTTTACAGTTTTATTTAACACAAAGAGTTTGCAAACAGTTCTATCTGTTCACTTCTTCAGTCTATATTCTGGTACTGGGGTTGGTGATTCTGATGGCCAGCTGGGCTGCTCTTTCCAAATGACTTTGTAGTTGGAGAAAACACTGTATTGGCCCTCTTGTTAATGTATATCCTCTAGAACCTATAATAAAAGGGAACTACTTTAGCAGATCAGTTTCAAAAAACTGACCTAGAAGCTTAGAGCCTTGGATATGCTTCCATGGAATTTCAGTAATGAGAACAAGAGAGATGTTTCTTAGTAAGTTTTGGAGTCTCATTGCTGATTTCTCCTATCCACTCTACCCTCCTGCTTCTTAATCCCTGATAGAAGATTTAGGTACTAATTTATTCCTCTCTAGAGGATGTATAGCCCCCAAAATTCTTTTTTGTGATCTAAATAGCTATCAGCAAGGAATATAATCAACTCAGACAATTCTAACACAATAATTCAACTTTCCAAAAGAGCCTCCCCCCCAGCCCCCGCAAAAAAAACCACGTCAATTTGTTTCTAAAGAATGTATTCTATTACTGTTTTTTTTAATTAGTGGATGGCATCACATCAGTTTATGGTAATACCAAATACTTAAATTACCACAGAGTAACTCCTCTGCTCACTACACATGCCCCGCCCAACCAAAAAAAAAAAAAAAGAAAGAAACCTTACTTATATCATCAACAGAGGCTAATTAATAAATGATGGCAAATTCATCAATGTACTAATACACAGGTAGTATGAAAGAGGCAACAACTCCATGGTGACTTACCACATATTCTTACTCTATTTGAATTTTATAAAGTTTCATCACAAATATTTATACAATTTCCACTGCATATTTCAACACCAAATTTACCATGCAATTCTCACTATATTCTTTTCATTATATATTCCCCACACCACTATTTTCCTGAAATCCAAAAATTATTCACAATTATCCTTCCAACGATACAACTTCTGTTTTCTGTCTCACAGGAATTAGACATTTTTGACTGCCTAGAAACAAATTAGAGATTAGTAAAGATATTTTATTGTAGCCTGATACATACCATTGGGTTCATCAGAAAGTCTGTCCAGCCCCATGATTCCCTTTTAATAAAGTAAGAAGGTGGACCTGAAGATTTCATTTGGAGAGGATAGGGCAGTCTGACCACTTCTGATGTTTTGATGTAATTCACATATCTTGCTCTGATAAAGCAACACGAAAAAAGCATCATTAATATATTAGCAAAGCCTTATAATTACCTTTAGCTTCTTCCAAATACTTTGGTATCTAAACTTTTGATCTTAGAAATCTATCAAAATAGCTTTATCTATATATTTAAAAATATTTAGTAAAATGTACAGAAACAACACAAGACTTGGAATAAAAAGACCTAGTTTCTAGTTGTAGCTCCGTAATTACCTAAGACTATGGGGTTGGACTGGTTCTTAACTTCTTTGGTTATACCAAAAGTTCTTTTAGACTCCTCTCAGCTTCAAAGCTCATTGATTATATCTAATAATAAATTTTATTAGAAATATACCAAAATGCTGCCTTTGATTCTTTTTATTATCTGAGATATGCGCTATTGGGTCCACTCAATTCTCAAGGCAGGAAAATTTTATGATGTAAAGAAGTCCCACAACAGGGCTATATATAACACTATATTTTTACCAGAAAGGCCACTAATTTTAGTCAAAACTCTCTCATCCATGTTCACACATATTCCAGCTTATTGCCTCCCCTATTTGAAAACTGCCTCCCCTATTATCTCTATCATTTCCTTCTGATCTTCTATTAGACATGTATTAGGCCTTTTCATATTTTACTCAACATCTTGTTAAATTCTCATTTTGACAGTAACCATTCCTTTTTCTGTATTTTATTATGGATAATTTTTTCTGATTTATCTTTCAATTCACCATTAATACATCCATTAAGTTTTGTATTCCAATGCCTATATTTATTGTAGAAGCTCTATTGTATTTTTTTAAATATCTGTAGTCTATTTTGGTAGTTATCTTATTTCCTATGGCAGAAAGTTCTTCTAGTTCTTTAAGCATTTTAAATATATCAATCTATTTTATAGTCTATACCTAAAAATTCTACTATCTAAAGTTCTTGGAGGTCTGATTCATCAGTTAACTCAATACATATTGTTTTCTTGGGTATAAGTTAAGGAGACTTTAGTTATGTGTATGCCTGGACAGAGAGTTATCTCCCTCCAGAAAGGTTATGCATTTGTCTCTGCCAAGAGTCCAGGTTTATGAACAATGACCATCTTATTAATTGCTCAGCGTGGAAGTTTCTGGATCATGAAGGAAGTAATAAATTTAACCCCAAATTTCAATGTGGGTAGGACTGTGACTAACAGTGTTCAGGAGAGACTTTTCCCCACTCCAAAACAAGGGCTGAACTGGGAGTCTAGTCTTTTGGATTTTAGTAACAAGGGTGAATAGGGGAACCACGTCTTAGATCTAATTCTGATGCCAAGCAAACACAAGATTTGCCTCCTACCTGCACACTAATAAAATCTAAGCCTTTTGTATACAGAACATTAAAACCTCCAGGTGGGAAGGTGGTTTCTAGTTTATCCTTTGAGGATTTGCCTCTCTTTTTTTTTTTGAAACTATTCATTTAAAAGGAAATGAATATGAGAATATAAATCCCAGTGCTGTAACCGATCCTTAAATGCTAAAGCAGGAAGCACACTTTACCCAAGGTAAAAAAGCAAATAAAACTTTATATTTAGGAAAATATTTCTATTTGCTTAGACTACTTTATTCAAAATTCAAACAGATAAAAAATAAAAATGAATTAGTTTTTAATAGACAAGTATCCCCTTTTAATAACTCTCATTCTATCCCATAAAACTTTATGCCTCTAAAAAGACATGAGAAAGTTGATACTTAATGAGGTTCACCTACTTTGAAACGATTTATTTATTCCATCCAAGAATATTCATAAGCATATTTACAAGGTATTACCTTCAATTCTAGCTTCACCCTTGCTCTAAATAGCTAACAGTTTTGAGACAAAGTAGAACAAGAACTGAATTTCAAAAAGAAGGGAAAAGTAATTTGTTTCTAAAGAATGTATTTTTAGTGACATCATGGCATTGGTTTCATGATAATATTAAGAATTTAAATTACTATAGAATAATTGTCTCCAGTCACTATACACACTAAAAGAGGAGAAAGAAAAGCCTACTTGTCCATTAGTAGGAACTGCTTAAAAAATGATGGTAAAGCCATCAATGAACTGATATACAGCTGATATAAAGGATGAGACAGCTCTATGTGTTACTCTATTTGAATTACAGCATATTTACATATTATACTTTAAAAACTTCTAATGAAAAAAAAAGCAAAGAAAAAAGGAAAACATTTTAGGAGTCAACACTAATACAACTGTAAATATTGTAGTACTAACTGAACAAATCTCTATTATGTCAGCTCAATTTGGGGTATTTTACAAATCAACCTACATAGACTTGGCACATACCAAAAAGGTCAGTGATAAAATACAGCTCCTACAACCCCAAAACTATTTTTGCCTTTGCATGACCCATGCTTTATTATAGCAACATGGAATAATTCTGTGATAGCTCAAACAAAGAAAATATATTATCATTTAAAACTTTCATTTTTGTTAACTATACCTCAGTAAAGTTAGGAAAAAACAAATAAATAAAATTGCTTCATTACTTCCTGATTAGATCAGACCAAAGAGAATACTATTGGCAGGAGACAATAAAAAAATAAACAAATAAATAAATTGGGGGTTATAACAGAAGGCTGAATCTGAATATTGTGGACATCAACACAAGTGACTCTTAACTGAAAATAGGTTTATAGTATTCTATACTCCCAGCCTGAATTAGTCCAAAATTCTTTTCACTTGAACTTCAAAGCGCGTGTTCATGTACTTAGAAACCCTGAAATTTTTTCCTAGTCTGCCAGCCTCTAATACTGTGCTTTTCTTTTTCTTATCATGATCCTCATGATGTAATCTGTTGTATTCCCAAGAAGTACTAAGTTTCCATTACATATTAAATACTCCAGACAGGAAGAACTACAGAAATTTCCATATCAACGTACTATCTAATAGGTACTATCAAAATATCCCAATGAAAAACAAGTAACAAATAACATTTCCAATTTATAAAAGTTAGATTATTTCCAACTTAATAATCACATTTCAGTTACTTCAGTACTTCTGCTTCTGTATCTTACTCTTATCTATATAATCATATTAGGAGCTTTAAAATAAATTTTAAGTCAGAGCAGGACGAATTTCAACTTTATAATATTATCAATGCTCAGATTAAAATAATAAAGGATGTTTTAAATGTTTTAAGGAATACCTGTAATTTAAATAAAAAACTTGTCAACCTTAACTATAAATCTAAGATGGATATATAATGAGGTATTCCAATAGCCTAGACTTTGGTAAAAGATTAAATCATTTGCCCTCACCTCATTTTTCCTTTTGAAGTGATATCCACTCTGACAGGATCAAACCTGTAAGCTGGAGATATAACTTCCACTACATAAGATCCAGAAGGTATATCATGAACCACGAAACTCCCATCTGTCCTGGAAAAATGAAAATCATATTTAGTCACTTCTGATCAACAGCTTATCCTTTTATGTTTTAAATAATTTAACTCCCAAATCAACTCCCCCAAGAATGACATTCAGAGCAAACAGAAAAACAAAACTCCAAAACTAGCAAGAGTTGCTCCATATTTCAACTTCCATAATTACACTGAATGGGTTCTGAAAATACCCCAGACATTTCACAGCAGCAGAGAACCCTGACATAGAAAGTACTTCTATTCTTCGATAGAGATAACAGGAAACAAAAGCATAGTTCCTATTCTGAAGCTGTCTTCATTCAAGGGAAACTATTGATACACTTTACTACTACATGATTAGTAGGTCCAATTTTGCTAACCCTTTCCAACAATTTAATTAAAATGGCTTTTTTCCCCTAGTTTTAATTTGCATTTTGTTGTTTTTCTTTCTTTCTGTTTTTATAGTCAAAACCATCCCCCTTTTCCTGGTTTCTTCTAAATGTGGGTTAGAAAACCATCCCATCAAGTCTACGGCCATGCTACCCTGAAAAAGCCCAATCCAGTCTGATCTTGGAAGCTAAGTAGGGTCAGGCCTGGTTAGTACTTGGATGGGAGACCACCTCGGAAGACCAGGTGCTGTAGGCATAAAAAAATTAAAAAATAACGGATTGTAAACTGACAAGGTCCTTGCAATCTGTGAGGTCAACCAAGAGTTGCCTCGCCTAAAAAAAAAAGAAAAGAAAAGAAAGAAAACCATCCCATTAAGAGTTGATAATTTCATATTCAAGATCAAAATTAATTTGTTCTGATAATGAGAAACTGCCATTCTGAGAAAAAAAAGGTTGTTTCAGGAAAACAAATGATTCTAAAAGAATCAACTTTATCAGAAAATTCCTAGAATCATAATATTTTAAAATAACATTTCTTAAATCATTAGGTTCTCTCATAGTTAAAGGAATAATTGATTCTGCCACATCCACAAAATTTACCAAAAAGAAAGAGGTGTTCCTTGCTCCTTCAAAGAACACACTAAACTATAACAACTGAAATGTAAACACTGAGTTAACTTATTCCTGAGCTGATGGCTTGCATTTGCCCTTCAGATCCACTCTTCACACTTCTCTCTCCACATCAGAGGAAGGGAAGAAAATGAGCTTAGTACATTTTACGTCCCTCCTCCGCCCATCAGTTCTCTCCCTGAGAGGCCACCTCTAACTGGCTGTATCAATGTCAAGGGACACAGATCCTCTCTAGGAAGTCTTTCTTCCTCCTACATTCTAGTAATCTTTACTTCTCTTCCTCTCTTCAGACTTAGAGGTGATAATAGCCTTGAGCTTGTAAACTCTAGGGGACTGTGCAATCTGGTTGTTTCTCTATACCATGACTATACTGTTAATGCTTTCATTAAACTATTCTTTAATTATTCTAATCTGAGCATATCCCCTGTTATTTATTTATTTATTTTATTTTATTTTTATTTTTATTTTTATTTATGCCTACAGCACCTGGTCTTCCTAGGTGGTCTCCCATCCAAGTACTAACCAGGCCTGACCCTGCTTAGCTTCCGAGATCAGACATTGGGCTTGTTCAGGGTAGCATGGCCATAGATCATGGATCGTGGACCTTCTGCGTGTAAAGCAGACGTGCTAACCGCTACACTATGGAACCACGTCCTCCTGTTTCTTGATAGAACTCTAACTGAATAAATTTCAAAACATTTTTCTAGATCCAGAAAAAAAAAGAATTAAACTAATGGCTGTGTGACACAAATAATAGCAGAACTACCTAAAGAAAAAGTGAATAGATACATCATCATAAGGCATATATTTTACTTTAGAAAGATAACACATAAATTTTATAATAAAATTTTAAAACTTAGCTTTAAAAATGTACTCTACAATATGTAAGCCTTGTATAGTATTAAAGGTTAGATCCTGATTTGAAAGAATAATTACATAAAAGCATTTTTAAGATAAGTGAGGGAACATTACTAATTTTGTTGACCCAATAACAGTATTGTGTTATTTATTTAAGGCCTTATCTTTACATAATAATTTACAAAAAAAGATAGAAGATAATGCTTTTATAAGTGAAATCATATTACGTCTAGGATCATTTTTAAATTTTCCAGAAAAAAAATGATGTGCAGAGGAGACATGAAGCAGTAGATTGTGATGGGTACCTAAGGATTCACTAAGCTATTCAGTTTATTTTAGTGTATGCCTGTAATTTTTCATAATAAAAACTTCAAACAAGTATAGTACATAATCTTACTATTTTAGAAAATTGAAAACTATCTAAATATTCCAAAACAGAGGACTGGTTAAATTATTATTTACATAACAGTGATAAAAGCAAAAAGTGACATAGGAAGTCCTCAGTCAAAACTTTCATTTCTATAAGCAAGTCAAAATTGCATGCTAGTTATGCATAATATGTAAAAAGACAAATTACCTATCCCTCTTCCAACAAGTTTGCCACCATAAGAGCTCCTTATATTAATTCTTAATCAACTTTTCTACACACAAATGAAGAAATATGAAATGGTATCACAAAAAGCTGCTCACAAAAAATCAAGCAAAAAAAAAAAAGCGAGTTACAAAGTATTATATATTGTATTTTACTATTAAAAATACACATCATGTGATTCCAAAAAGGCTAAAAAAGATACAATAAAATATTAAGAGTTAGCTCTACTTTCTTATTTATAGTCTCTTCAATAATATTACTTATATACTATTTTAAAATAAAAGACATAAGTGCTTTTTAAAAGAATTGTATACTGCAGAAAGAGAGATCAAATGTTCAATTCAGGCTAACTTTTCAAAGCTAAATGACAGCTTTATCATTAAAACATTAATTAGGGTGGACCCTAAAGAATGCCCAAATGCCAGATTTTTAATGACACATAGCATTAAAATAATGGTTGTAAGCTTTTTGACATTTATTAATCTGTTAATATTTCCATTCGAAGGTACCTGGGCGATCTGAATATTTGCAAATCATATTTAGAATTAAATGTACACATTTAAGTTGTCTGGTTTTCAGATACCACTTACTGGTGTACAAATCCTCCACAGAAACACTTTCTTTCCTAAATATTTTCTTTCAGTTTGACTTTCCAAGCAGCAACTGAAAGATTTAAAATATCATAATTGTGCCCAGACATTTGAAAAAGCAAGCTGCTGCAAAACGAGACTGCTAATAAATTCAACAGGTCTTTTAATATATGCTGAAATCCTATTTCTATTCATTGCTAGAAAGGACAGAAGCAATATAGAAAAAATCCTAGTCTCACATAAATGCCTAGTGTGATATTGCAAATCCCCTGATGAATTCAAGTGTAAAAAAGAACAACAATCCCACCTCCAGACAAAAAAAGTGCTTTGATTAGGGACTTCAGGGCCCATTAACTTCAGAAGCAGCAAAATTAGCCTCCCAATCTATGTCATCACCAGAAGCCCTTTGGGCTTTGAGAATTCCCACTTGCTTAGCATCTTTCTACACAACATCAAACTACTAGAAGACTGAAATAAATGCAAAAAACGGCCAGATTCCAAGGAAACCAGATGAGATGCAAAGGAAAGCATTCGGCAAGAGACAAATAGGGGTCCACCTGTCCCCAGGGCCCAGAAGTGGTCATCCCCATACAGGGCCAAAATACAGTTGAAGATAACTGAACCTTCTGCTCCGGCCCTGGGGCAAGCACCCGCCGTCCTCATTTCTGAGGTACGGGACTGGGAAGGAGAGAGTTCGACTACCTCCCAAGGTCTCCCGGCACAGACCGCTAGCGGCGCCTGCCCCTTCACCCTCCGACAGCTACGTCGTCATGTCTTGACATTTAGCTCTCCCAGAAGGAATTCCCCTCTGGCTTCCATCCTAACCTCTCCCGCCGCCCTCAGGATGCTCACTTAAGGAAGCCGACGTGCTCTTCTCCGTCTACTAGCACTCGGGCCGCGGAGATCCAGTCCTGGGGCTTCACCCCTGGAACAACCGCACGCCCTTCGATCTTGAAGCGATCTCCTATGCCCACCCCAATCCCTCCCGACCCTTCGGCAGAAGCCCCGGGCACCTCCGAGCTCTGGGCATCTCCTGCTAGTAGCAGCAGAAGGACATAGATGAAACCCCACAGAGCAGCCGCCATGACAGCAGCTCTCAGCGGTCCGGCCCGCAGTCCCGGAAGCCCTCCCTGTCTCCCAGGTGCTGCCGCCGCCGCCGGCGGCAGCCGATGTCGTCATCACTACGCGCCGGGTTCTGGCGCGCGCTATGAGCTCAAACCAGGGATGGGAATCTTTGGCCAATCGACGTGCGGCGAGGCGGCAATGAGGCGGCAAAGACGCGGAAATGCCCCGGGTTCGGGTTTGGAAACGGGTCTTGAGGGGCAGGTCGAGTGAAAGCGGCCAACCACAAAGCGAAAGTGGTGAAATATGTGTTGCAATGGCAACCACGGAGATCGTGTACCTCATCTGAGTGAAAGATAAGACTGAAAGAGACGAGTATCTGCAGTAGTGTCTGCAAATGAGGCTTCGGCTTCGGGAGGAATAGGTTCAGAAGACAGCATTTAAGAAAACAGATTCCCCAAGACGAATGAGATGAAAAAGCCCCTATTGGTGTGTTCAAAGGAAATAATGTCTCTGCATGGAAAATAGCTGGAAAAATACGTAAACTATTTACTAAGGGTGGCTTCTGGTGAAAATGATATGAAATTTACAAAAATACTAAAATAAAAAATAGCTTCATCCCCAAATTTTCTGATTTTCTCTCACATTGTGTGTGTGTGTGTGTGTGTGTGTGTGTGTGTGTGTGATTCTGATTTGCTAGTGTCTTAGACACATGTTCAGTTTGACTAATAGATAATCAGTGTTGGTCTTAATACCCCAGATAGGAGCTGGAAAGTTTAATTTTTATGGCAAAGGGTGGAAAAGGCAAAGGGTGGAAGAGGATGAGCAGTTGAAAGCGACTGAGCTCTCTGTATCTCCATTGCAGACTTTCTATTTCTTCCCTTACCTTACTGTCACTCTAATACAAAAGCATCCAATGGTTTGAACCCTTCAAATACCAGGTTTATACCTCCACAGTCATTAGATGGAGGAGAGAGCCTAAATAATGTTTTCAGGTAGTGTGAAATTCTGCTGTCTCTTTTTTTTCCAGGTAGACCACAAGAAATGCATAGATATTTAATGCCAAATTATACAAGAGTTATTCCAGAATGTAGCCCTCGGACTCATGCTTTATAAAAAAAAAAAAAAGAACTATAATTGTAATGGAATGTTTTAGAAAGATCTTGCACTGGACTTGCTCTGTTTGCCCAGCCAGGTCTACTTTTACCCTTCACTCTGCTTTGGGCCTGGAAGGCTGGTCCTTGAAAGATTGCAAAAACTTGGCTCCTTTGTCCTCTGGGTGCTTCCAGTTGAATTCAGCCAATAGGAGATATCATTAGGACATTCCTTTCAGTTTCCCTTACCACTGTCCATACTTCTGAGAAAGTTTAATGAAAGGATAATTTACAATCACCCTTTCAAGTCTTCTATCAATTTCCTGCCAAGGCCCTGACCCATATAGATTTCAAGCAGACCTACTTATCTTAATTATGGAAAATACCTTTAAAGTGAGAGGCGATCAATTTATTATCCAAGCCCTTTGCTTTTCTCTGTTCCTTTTTTGCTGCCTGGCTCTTGGCTTCTTCATATCATGGCCACAAGGGGGTGAACCAGGATAGGGACAGAAACTACACTCAAAAACACACAAGGAATTTTTATAAATGCTGAATTATACCAACAGAGGTTAACTCTGGGTTTTACAGCTAATGTTTATTTTCTTTATCATCTTTACTGATTTTTGCAATAGCTTTATAAATATAAATTATAAAAATATAAAGCCATTTTTAAAAATAAAGAGAGCAGTTAAAATTGCTAAAAATATATAACAGAACTTACTTTGAACTCTTAAAACTTAATCAGCCAAAAAACAGTTGCCATCCTTTTCAAGAGTTTTAAAGATCACTTAAAGTGGCAATCTTTGATGATGGTTTTAGTCTTCCATCTCAGTATTCTGCTTGTCAACATCTGTGTCACAGTGTTTTCAAACTTCTTCATATGTTAGCTGTCATTGAAGAAACAGTTGATTATAAGGTGCAACTACAAAGTAATGAGGGTCATACTCTTCTTATATTAAATCAATAGGTGTGTTTTTTTAAAAATAGAGTACTGGCATGCCTCGGAGATATTATAAGTTCAGTTTCAGACCACCAAAATAAAGCGAGTATTGCAATACAGTGAGTCAAAATCTTTTTGCCGGTGGACAGTCTTGCCTTCACCTTGTAAAAATTATAACATCTATGAAGCGCAATAAAGGAAAGCACAATAAAACAAGGCATGCCTGCCTGTAATACCAGCAGAATGCTTAGGAAACTTCAGCTGTGCTAATCCAAGTACCCTGCTATTTACTTGAAGTGAATTTTGCCCTTTGAATTTTCAAACCTCATTTACTTCAAGTAGATTAGTTAATCTTTTTCACTCAAATAAACTGGAGCCAATTCCCTTAATATTTAAAAACATCTATCATCCACTAGGACCCCAGGTTTGGCTTTAGAAGTCTTCTGAAATGGGACGTGTCATTCACTGTTCTCAAAGGGAGTACAGGAGGCATCTAATTTGCCTTAATTACCTGCAAAAAGAAATTACAATGGAAAGATTTTATTTAATTAATTTTACTCTGTTATCAACAATTCCACCAAATTCTGTGAAAAATCTAGGCAAAAGAAATTTGAGAAGTGTGAAGATATGCTAAACAACTTATAAACATGAGGAGGAAACAATAATCTTTGATGAGGCAAAATTCTAAATATCCCAAGATATTCTAGCAAAAATGCTTTATAAACACTAAAATATAAATATTGTTAGTTACTATATTTGAACAATAGTGAATAAGAAGCCAAAGTGTTAGAATGAAGGAGTTCTATAACACTAACTATCCTCTGTGCTTTTGGGCTCTCCTGGACTAGTGGAATCAGCTTCTCCCTGGCTTGTGACTATAGTACAAGAAGGCTAAAGCAGGGGTCCCCAATCCCCAGGCTGTGGACCGGTACCAGACCGTGGACTGTTAGGAACTGGGCCGCACAGCAGGAGGTGAGTTGAATGGCAGGTGAGCAAGCAAAGCTTCACCTGTATTTGCAACAGCTCCCCAGCACTAGCATCACTGCCTCAGCTCCACCTCAGATCATCGGGCATTCTCAAAGGAGCACCAGTTTCTGGTGCCAAAAAGGTTGGGGACCACTGAGCTAAAGGACTGGCTTTAAGATCAGTCACGGATCCTGAAAATCACAGTAGTATTAGAACTCCAACTTCATACAAGGCATTCCTAAGACCTCTTTGCGCCATCCCTGTGTTGACTGCCTTACATGCCAGCCTATATAGAGCATCACCTCTCTATTTACATCTGTGCATAAGTCTAAAAGCAGGATCGTCTTCATGTCTTGATCTGAATCTTACTGTCCTTTTTTAAAAATTGTGGTAAAATACACATAACATAAAATTTATCATGTTAACCATTTTCTTGGTGTACAGTTAAGTAGTATTAAGTATATTCACATATTGTTGTACAACCAATCTCCAGAACTTTTTCATCTTGTAAAACTGAAACTCCATACCCTTTAAATAACTCCCCTTTTCTCCCTGCCCCCAGGCCCTGGGAAACACCAGTTTCTATGAATTTGACTACTCTAGATAGTTCATATAAGTAGAATCATACAATATGTGTCTTTTTTAACTGGCTTATTTTACTTAGTATTATGTCCTCAAAGTCCATCCCTGTTGTAGTAGCATGTGTCACAATTTTCTTCCTTTTTAAGACTGAATAATATTCCACTGTGTGTACCTACATTTTTTTTAATCCATTCATCAGTCTGTGGACATTTGTGTTGCTTCCTTCTTTTGGCTATTGTGAATAGTACTGCTATGAACATGGGAATATAAATATCTGTTCAAAACTCTGCTTTCACTTTTCTTGAGTATGTACCCAGAAGTGGGATTGCTGGATCTTATGTAATACTATTTAATTCTTTGAGCAATCGCTCCTGTTTTCCACAGCAGCAGCACCATTTTACATTACAAGCAATGTACGAGGGTTCCAGTGTCTCCACATCCTCACCAACAATTGTTTTGTGTTTGTTTGTTTTTATAATAGCCATCCTAACGGGTGAAAAGCAGTATTTCATTGTGGTTTGAATTTGTTTTTCTCTCATGATTAGTGCTATGGCCTGAATGTTTGTGTCCCTTCAAAATTCATGTTGCAATCCTGACTTCCAAGGGAGATGGAATTATCAGATGGGTCTTTGAGACATGATATGGTCCAATTTGTCTATTTTTTACTTTTGTTGTCTGTACTTTTGGTGTCATCTCCAAGAAATCATTGCCATTCTAATGTCATGAAGTGTTTCCCTGTGTTTTCTTCTAAGGGATTTATAGCGTTTTTTTCTTCTAAGGGATTTATAGTGGTTTTTGGTTTTTTTTTTTTTTACTACCTTTTCATGAGCACCTTTTCCACATTTGTTGGAAGACTACTCATTTTTTTTTTTTTATGGGTAGAGTTGTTGATCAAGGACTTTTTTTCTCAATCATATCACTTTTGGAGAAGTCCTCTCTATTTTAATGCAAAGTATTTCCTAGGAATAGATTCTCCTAAAAATGACAGTGCCTTTAAATTTTCCCATGCATACATATCATCTGAGGATGCACCTTTTCCACATTTGTTGGAAGACTACTCATTTTTTTTTTTTTATGGGTAGAGTTGTTGATCAAGGACTTTTTTTCTCAATCATATCACTTTTGGAGAAGTCCTCTCTATTAGAATGCAAAGTATTTCCTAGGAATAGATTCTCCTAAAAATGACAGTGCCTTTAAATTTTCCCATGCATACATATCATCTGAGGATTTTGTAAAAATGTACATTCTGATCAGGAAATTCTGGGTAGAGCCTAAGGTTCTGCATTTCTAATGAATTCCTTTATGCTGCTAGCCCATGGCATAGGAATGTGTGGAGGAGAACTGTGATCACCAAAGTATGGCCCTCTGTTCATGGGTGGACTATGAGGGTCCTCCAGTCCAGATGCTAAAACATAAGTTCTTTCTTTAGTTTTTATTTTTATTTCTTTTTATTTGTATGTATTTTTTTTTCATTATGGTGA